AATGCTGAATAGTATATAATACAATCTCTATATACTATATTTACTATATTACTATATAATCTCAAGTGACAATTTCAAGCGTCTATTTAAATTGCTTTATGTTCTTTTTTGTTTGAAATAAAACACTGCATTGCACAGTTCATAAATGTAAAAAAATTATTGTTTTGTAGACCACAAAGGCACTGGTAATGTTTTTGGCCCATTGTTATTTTTTTCTTTCATTGTGCAAGAGCATTACAGTGATTGTTGTAATTCATGAATTCATACGTTGTCTTCTTTAAGAGATTGCATATAATTGTTTTGTAAGAAATTAAATTTTTACTTTCCTTTTGGTAAAATAACAAAAAAATAAATAAAAAATCCTAAAATCCAATCCAATTGAGAACTTTTTTGTCCTATTGTATTGTATGTAACTGAAGACAAACAAAGTAGTTAAGACATCTGACATATGCATGAATGTTTAGGTGTACGAATGTATGTATGTGTGTGTGTGTATAGTATAAAAACAGACATAAAATATAATCCATTTAAAGGATTTCTCTTTATTTAAGCAGAAAAACACACTCTACAAGCTTTCCCCCCACATTTTAAAGAAGCAATAAATCATCAGCTTATCAATAATAAACAAGACTTGTAAAGAAATGATATTAGTTTCTTAAAATTGCACTAAGCATAGTCATTCAATTGACAATACATTTCAGTTGTTTCTATGAAAAACACACTTCTTAAATGTTCTGTTATAAAACACAATTAAAACACATTGTTATACAATTAACACAATTGAAACATTGTTATTGATATAAAACCAACAAAACAACAACAATTTAGTCAAAAAGTCTTCGCAGAAAGCTCTTCTTAGCTGGGGTAATTTTCATCGAAACTGGAGCCTTGCGATGGGTCATCTTCATTGGGACTCTCTTTACTGGCAACATCTGACGTGGTGGAGTCATTTCCTGCTTGGGCAGGCCTCCGTGATCCAAGCAGAAGTACTTGCTGTTGTCTTGAGAGAGGCAAAGCAAAAGGCTTTCGGGGAGCTCCATGCACTGGGCATGAACCCAATGTCCACCTTCACCTTTGGAGCAGAAGATCATGGCAGGTCTGGTGAGCTCAGTTGAGTAGTAGGGCTCCCAGGTGTTGGGGTCCACCTGGCAGGTAAGGCAGCACTTGATCCAATAGCCTGTCTGAGATTCATTCTCCTCGTCCTCCTCATTGTAGGTGTCACACTCTCCATCGCTGCTATACTCCAGCTCATGATGTTTTCGGCCAAAGTAGAGCTCCTCAGAGTCTTCCAAAGGTGCAGAATCCTCAAAATCAGTGGACTCCTGGCTGCATCCCTGAGTTGATGCTTCTCCATCTTGTTCCTTCTGGAAGCTCACCCAGTAGAAATGGTAAGCATCTGGTGGGGCTGGGTTTCCTTCTGAGGGGATTGCAATCAAGGCACTTCCTTTGCATAGGCTGCCACCAAACCAAGTACGGCTGTGGGTTATCTCGCTGGTCCACTGCGGAGGTTTGCAAGGCTCCATGTGGACTCCGACATCATCCAGGCCAATGTATGTGCACTCCATGCACTTCTGAGTCTCAGATTGGTAGCCGCCGAAAACTATGTACTCATGATAGCCAATGGGAGCAACTATGGCGCTGGTAATGGCGAGACCTTCATGAAGCACAGTACAGGTGAGGACAGGGCTTCCTAGGAGAAGCTCCACACTTAGACGGATCAAACGAGGTGGTCTGCAATCAGAGCTGAGGATGTGACCGCCCAGGAAGTAGACACAGTTCTCTCTTACAAGAGCTACATGAAACGACTGGCCGTCCGTGAGCTCAGGGAGGGTGTGGGCCGTACAGCAACCAAACTCTAGGTCAATAAGAAAGATTTGTGGTGGACAGTCCATCACGCTGTTCCAGTTCTCCGTGGTCCTTTCGGTGGGGGGCATGTAGGACCTGCCGCCAAACAAAACGCAGGCGGTCTTCCCTCGGCTAAGGATCACGCTGAGGGTGTGGCCATATCGAGCGCAAGGAACATCTCCAACCAGCTCTTTTTCTTGACAGCAAAATGTGACTTTGCGATTACATCCTCTGCTGTCTACACTTAACATGTAGAGACTTGAGGACAGCTCATTGTTGGGTGTTCGGCCACCATGAATGAGGTAACACTCAGGACTGCCATCATGAGGCTCAAAATGAGCTATTGCAGGACATCGGAGGGGAGGGAGATAACTTGAGTTGTTTGAAAATGAAATGGCACGCAGCTTAAGTTCTCCGTTTTTTATGCGTACACCAAATATTCCAGTTGGACATGAGCGTTTTGGCCAGCCCTTTTGACCAAAGAGATAAACATCACCCTCCAGCTCTAATAAGGAGAAGCCTGGTTGCAGAAGGCCAGCACAGTTCACAGCAGTCAGAGGCTGTAAGGTCATCTTTTTGCAGAGAACTGTGTAAAATATAAAAGAAAAACAAACATAAATTTTTTATTAATTTTAATATTTGTAGAATCTAAACATTTTGTCAAATATTACATAAGAAATTTCATGTAAATTGCACAGCTCGAGAATGGATTAGGACTAGCATAATATTAAGAGTAGGATGGAAAGATATTTTTTTGAAATCAAACTAAAAATAAATAAATAATTAAAAAAACGCGGAAACAAATATCCCTTTCCCTGTTTCCCTGACAACACAGAAACATTCCCATAGGAACAGGTTGTAGTTTTCCTCATTCCTGTTTCTCTTAGAGAATCGCGTTAAGCTCGCAATAAAACTACATTACCCAGCATCCAGTGCGAAACGGGCGTTTCTCGTTCTACATTAAAAGGGTACGTCTGAGATGTTTTTATGAACGCTCATTTGAGAACTCATGAGAACTAATTTTTACATTTATTAGATTCGTTTTAATGTCTTTATATAGTCGAATTCGCAAGATAAATCTTATTAAAAAAGTGTGTAAGCTCTGGCTGTCAACACTAGAGCTACACTACAAAAATAAAGATAAGAAGCTTTTAAATAACTATATATTTATAATAATTATATTATAAAAATGGTAATTACCTAGGTGTTTATTTCATTTTGCTCTATAAGGCACTAAATATCACATACATTTATAAATATTTCATATATAGTCTTAGAATAATATTGATCCTATAATAACATGTATATTTCTTACCTTCTGGCCAATGCACTCCGAAAACTGAGAGCTGTTTGGTGCTGCTAACTTTTATTTGAGATATTAAAGCAAATGATTTAGTGACAGTGGCAGAGGCTCAGTGTTTGTGAAGGTTGACTGACTCATCTTGAGGTTAACTGCTGCTAACAACAGGTGTCTGAGCACAACTCACACAAGTTTGAATGAAAACAAGCACAAACTTGGTGCATCATTGGTCTGTGTATTATTAATATGATCTTTATATTGGTGTTTTACAGCTGTTGATACAGATTAATCCAGAAAATCTCATAGATTTAGATAATTCGTGCAAAAAATTGTTTGGTCTTTCTTCTCAAATTAACACCACTTACACTCTATGTAATGTAGTTTGATTGGAACTTCCCGCAGGCTTATATTTACATTAACTGTTTCTGCTTGGCGGCTCTTTAAAGGAATGGGAGAAATTAAGCGACTATTGTTGAAAGAAAGAAAGAAAGAAAGAAAGAGAAAGGGAAAAGAAGGGAACAGCTGTGCCTGCCTCATTAGCATAATGTTTTTGTGTTTCGGGGGGCTGTGCGCAAGTGCTCGAGCCATCCTGCAGTTGTGTGTTTGTTTTGGAGGCCGAGAGATGTGTGTGTGAGAGAGCAAAACAAAGACACGTAACCACGAGTGGCTGGAAGAACAGTGAAAAACACAAACAGCGGAGCACCTGTGTCTGAAGAGCAGGGCCGTGAAGAGGAGTCTCAGAGACTCCCCTGAGGCGCAACACAAAGTAAAGAATTCCTCCGGTGTCTCCAAGCGCACTGGAGAGCTTTATTCTCCCACTCAAGCGCACTTACATGCCGGTGTTCCCACTTACAGATGTTGTAAAATAAACCCGTCGAGTCCTGCATACGGCAGTGGCAAATGAATGCAGATGTTCGCCAGGTCTGTCACAATGAAACAGACGGGAGGAAATGAAGAAGGAGACTGAAACGACAAACAACAACAAAAACTTCAGTGCTCGCATTGTAATAATGAACCTTACTGTTTAGGCCTAAGCTGTTTTCTTTGAATGTGTGGGACTTTCGATTCATTAGTCGCTGTAGGGAAATAACGAGAAGAATAACAAAGTGCAGTAGCTAAATGGTAAAACTGTTTGCGCTACAAACCAGTGCGTTTATAATTAAGACAATACATTAAATAATATGGTAGGAGACACTAGTTTGCAATATCACGTAGCAAAACGAGCTGTTTTATACAATGTCTGCTACAGCTGAAAATAGAGGAAGCGGATGACACCGGAAGCCGGACACATTTACAAATGACCGTGCACGATTTTATGGGAAAAATAAGGTGGATGGTGTGAGTTCGTGGAATAGCCTGTGATATGCATTACCAATGAAAGTTGCGAAATAACGAGAAGAATAACAAAGTGCAGTAGCTAAATGGTAAAACTGTTTGCGCTACAAACCAGTGTGTTTATAATTAAGACAATACATTAAATAATATGGTAGGAGACACTAGTTTGCAATATCACGTAGCAAAACGAGCTGTTTTATACAATGTCTGCTACAGCTGAAAATAGAGGAAGCGGATGACACCGGAAGCCAGACACATTTACAAATGACCGTGCACGATTTTATGGGAAAAATAAGGTGGATGGTGTGAGTTCGTGGAATAGCCTGTGATATGCATTACCAATGAAAGTTGCAATGCAATGCTCTTCTGGCTGGACTTCCATCAAGCACAATCAAACCTCTACAAATGATTCAGAATGCAGCGGCACGACTGGTCTTCAACGAGCCCAAAAGAGCCCATGTTACACCTCTCTTTATCTCCTTGCACTGGCTACCGGTTGCCTCAAGTTCAAGACATTGATGCTTGCATATAGAACAGCCACAGACTCAGCACCCCCCTACTTCCACTCACTACTACGAATCTACATCCCCTCCAGAAGTATGAGATCCGCTAGTGAGCGACGCCTCGTGGTACCATCACAGAGAGGCTCAAAATCACTTTCCAGAACATTCTCGTTCACC